TGGAAGGTAGAGAAAAGAAATCTTTTATGTTTAAAGCTAGGGAAGTTCTTTCAGAAACGTAAGCGACCAAAAAAAATCTTCGAAAATGATCGTGTGGGATCATTCGGGTCAGTGCCCTGTCCAATACTGAGAGATTATTGGACCGGCAATGGAGCAATCTCATTGGCTGATTTTAGTTATTGGCCCACCGAACTAACTTAATCGTGTCTGATAAATACTCATACACACTCATGTCACTAACCTGGTTTATAGTTCATTTGTATGGCAACAGGCACAAGCTCATTGCGTTTACCAACTTTGGTAGATGCAAACACAGCAATGGGAGAGAGAAAGTCCCTCATGGTCCTTCGAGGATCTCGATCAGTGAGGTCTGGAGATCTCGGAAGGTCGTCGCATATCTCATAACGAAGAGCATAAATGCGACCCTGTTCTATGGCCTAGAAAAATAAAAAATGTTACACAGTTTGTTTGCGTTATATTAGTCATTTCCTTGTACAGTTCGTACCATGCGAGTTGCAATGAAAAGAAAAACAAAAGCTTAGAAATGTCTGAATTCTCACATGTGACAAGGGGAGAAGATATGGAGACTGCCGGTTAGCGATCTGATGTTTTTCAGGTATGATAATGTGTGGTTGTCTAACTAGAAATACATTTCCTTAATTTCTACATAGTTCTGCCCAAAAAATTTAAGATCAGCTCAAACGACCACTATTAAGTCATTATATTGATAGGTTACCTAGATTTATGAAAATGAGTGTTAAAGACATGTTCAACCTTTTCTTCGCCGACCCCGTCCAAAGTAAGCGATGTCAAAATTCCAAGGAATGTCACATTTTTATTCCTCCCACTTTTACCCCCCTTGAAATGATTTTCACGCTATTCATAGGAGTGATATAAACAAGGTATGCGGCTCACTTGGTGCAAAAAAACGAACGTTTTGGTTACACCGTTTTCATAAATCCAGTTATATATCATTATAAATAACAAATAAATATTTGAACAAACACGCAAGTAATTTAGTTACGAAGTAGCAAGTAAATATATAACGTACATCCTTAAAAGAATCGTCAGTCTTGAGAGTCGCTTGCACAGCGGCTTCCCAATCGAATTCAGGATTCAGTGTTTCTTTCAACTTGTTCCAATCCAGTCCAACTGGTCCTAATAGAATAAGAAGTAGTTTTTGTGATAAAACTGCCCAGAGCCTTAGCGGGCAGCACTTTCTAGCCCGTACAGTAAAACAGAGGTTTCTAGCAGGACATTAATTTATCGGTCCTCCAAATTACTCGTAGCTCGTGGCCATGCAGGTCTGGCCTTACCATAAGCCAGGAAGTCGATGGCCTACTCAACTGGTATTCATCACGCATGCGTGGAGAATCATGATGTAAGAGGAAAAAACGACGAGCGAGGAAAAAACAAAACTTGGAGCGGCTTTAAACCTTGACTCAATACAATAAAAACCGCGTGTAAGAACCTACTTGTTTTGGAGTCTGGCAAAATATACAGTACTGTATTTATTCACAACTGTATTATGTATTTTCTTGTAATATAAATTTGTACTCTCAAAGTCACACTCCTTGGTTAAAATGTTTATCATAATTTAGCTGTAACCCACATTTAAGAACCTACTTGATCTCACTTATATTTTTGGGTATTAAAATGGCAAATTTCTCCCAGCAGGTTCTTAAACTACTAATGGGCTCAACGCAAAAATGATCTTTCTCGTTTCTAGGTTAAAGTTAAAGCTGTAGTTAAAGTGTAAGGGGTTTTTGTAAATCATGTGTTTCGAGCATCATGAGTGTGGTTTTCAATATCGGCCCAATAACACATAAAATTGACTTGTTATACATGTAAGTCTTTCAGGACCCACCTGTCTCTTCTACTTCTCCTGAAGGACAAAAAAATAAAGTAGATTGTTCGTCAGTATTTGGAATAATGTCCCCGTTAAGAAGAAACATGTATGTAACAGTTGTAACATTTTCCATATCCTCTGATTGCCTTCTTTACCAGGAGATATTATACATTGGTGCTTGTAAGCGCAGAATGTACAATTGCAACCGAAAAAAGCAATTGTCATTAACCAAATGAAAACACAAATAACATTAACTACCACATGAAGGAACGTAAGCTATGAATTTGCAAAAATTACTCTGTTACCTTGAGCACAGTTTCCCCAACGTCTGTCTTTGTTCTTTAAACGTTCTACCGTAGCACACCATGGCCGATGGTGATCCTTTGTTGTGCATTCCTCATATTTGACTCCGTTGTAGAAGAATGGAAAATGACACCATTCTCCCTTTGTTGTCTTAACAGTGCAATCTCCAGCTTCTGAAAAGGTAAGAACAATTCTCTCCTTAAAATTGCGCAAACAATTATTGAGAGGAAGTCTTGAGTATAGAATTCACTGACAAGAGGTACGTGGATTTTGAAGGAGTTCAAGATTTGAACCGTGACACTATTTTTAATATTCTTTTTTCGTTCTTTATGACCTCGAATAAAAATTCTTTTCATGCAAGATGGTGGATAGGGAAGCAGTCATGTCGAAGCAGTGACTAAGTGAGAGCTCTCGCCCCCGCCATTGCGGCCCGCATTTTATTCTCATACTCGATGTCATAAGTAGTTTGAGTTTTTTTGTTTGTTCTCTTTCCCCCTGCCTGGGTTTTTCTCCGGATTTTCTGTTTTTCCCGTCCAACAAAAACCAACACCTTCCAATTCCATTCGAAACGGAAACTGTCGACAAACAGCCATTCCTCGGATGTGCCACTGAAATTTCGCACTCATCTTTTATATCTTTTTATTTTATATTTCGGAATTGATGAATGTAATAAAATGAGACACGACACTATAACTGTGGAACGTGTGGAAGCTCCTGTAAAGCGCACTCGACACTCTACCTTAGAGCATCAGTAGCTAAAGATAATTACTGTTAAAAAGTGCGACTTACCTTGCTTTTTTTCTACGTTACTGTCTTGTGCTAAACGAAGGAATAATAGTTAGCTGTCATAGCTATTAACGGTGTGCTTCTCTTATATTAATATTTTATACTCATATATAAATTTAATTATCTCGGACTTCCCTAATAGCGTAGTAACAGCTTTTTTTTTAGTTTTCTTTTTTTTTTTCTCTTCTTTTCCTTTCTTTTTATGTGTGCTTTTGTGCTATCTTTATTTTATTTAACGCTGATGTCAACTGGCTGCCTGGCTCAGTTAGCTCCTATGATTATTCCAGGCAGCCAGTGCTCCAATTTTTATCATCGATACTTTTGTACAATTAGTATTGTAGTGTGAGTGAGTAAAATAAGGATTGTCGTTGCTGTTGTTGTTGAAGCAAATAAGCCAACTGCATTCAGGTTCTGTCTACCCAGTCTTGTCATAAGCACGGCATCCTTATCCTAAAACTGGTCACGCCTTCGAAGTGATGGAAAATAGCTGAGAAACGAAATTACTTCTCGTTTTACCCTTGTCAAATATACGTATATTTCTTAAAAAATTCGTGATATTTCTAAATTATAAATTAAAAGAGCTGTTCTTGCCGCTGTATTTGTTTGTTGTTTGTTGCTTGTTGCTTATTGTTTTTGGTTTTGCCCACACAGAGTTCTCAACTTCCAGGATATATATATCTTTATGAAGTTGATCACCTTGGTCAACGATATCCGTCATTTGTAAAAATAAATTTAGAATAAGAACTTTGAAATTTATTCCATTAAAAGCTAAGTTCTCAAACTATTACCTTGACAGAATCCCCATCTTTTTCTGTATGTTTCTGTAGTTGAGCACCAAGGTTTGTTATATCTGTCATTGGTACACTTGTAGTAAACTTTACCACGATATCTGAACGGAAAATGGCACCATTTTCCTTTAGTTGTCTTCACTGCACATCTTCGCTCTCCTGTAAAAAAAATTTGTTTAGAAGGAATCCGCCAAAGTTCGAATAACAAGACCTAACAAGTGGTCAAAACTTTTTTACCAAGATTATCTACAAGTATTGCAAACTTCTGAGCGACTGTTTTGAATATCTTCTCAAAAGAAATCATTTCTAACAACACCAAATGTCGAGAACAAATTTTGAGGTTCATATGAAACACTTAAAACTACTGGTGAAATGAAACGGATGATGAAATTTTACCTGTGTTTGCACAAATTTGTCTGAACTTTAAAATTTATTTTCTCGAGTTCTCATGGGAAATTGTTTTTGGTGTTATCTCAGGCATTTGGTCATATCTTTAGCTTTTACAAAATGCAAAAAGGACTGTAATATATTTAAAGTTATTCTGGTACTATGTCTTTGTCCATTAAAAACTGAAATTGTTTCATTTCCAATCGGAATTCGTCTTGAGTGCTTTTTTTGATATGTTTATCCCAACTAACCTATCCTTCGCTCTCAGTAAGCCTGCTATAGTAAGCTCAGTCAATGTGTCAGTTAACAAACCTCAGTATGTCCTTGAGTCACTCGCTCAGTCACTCAGTCTGGCCGTCAGTCAGTCAGTCAATTAGTCCAGCCGTCAATCAGTCAGTTAGTCAGTCAGTCCGACCGTCAGTCGGTCAGTCAGTCAGTCCATCAGGCAGACAGACAGTCCGGCTGTCAGTCAGTCAACCAGTTCAGCCGTCAGTGAATCAGTCAAAATCCGACCAGTCAGTCAGTGAATCAGTCAGTGAATCAGTCGGACAGTCAGACAGTCCGTCAGTCAGTCAACCAGTTCAGCCATCAATCAGTCAGTCAGTCAGTCAGTCAGTCAAAATCCAACTTCAGTCAGTCAGTCAATCAGTCAGTGAATTAGTCAAACAGTCAGACAGTCAGTCAGTCCGTCCGTAAGACAGTCAGTCATACAGACAGTCAGTCAGTCAGTCAGTCAGTCCAACCGTCAGCCAGTCAGTCAATGAGTCCAACCGTCAATCCGTCAGTCAGTCCGACCGTCAGTCAGTCAGTCAGTTAGTCAGTCAGACAGTCAGTCAGTCAGTCAATCAGACATTAAGACATTAATCAGACAGTAAGTCAATAAGTAAGTTGGTCAGTAAGCCAGTCAGTCAGTCAGTCAGTCAGACAGTCATTGAGTTAGTCAGTCGGTCAGTCAGTCAGTCAGTTAGTCAATTTAAACGAAGCGTTTCCCTGTCCTCCATCGTCGGTATTTTTTTCACTTTTAAGGCAGCTGTGCCACAAACTACTGAATAGCATTGGTTACCATAGTCGTTATTGTTAGCTACCCTCACCATGTATGGAAACCCGTTTGATTGACAAGGGGTTGTTTCCTGCTAGGCGTTGTTGAGTAAAAAATCTATCGTCGATCCATGTAGTTTTGTTGTCAATAAACGCCTCATCACCGGATGCTCTCCTCACGTACTCCTGAATTAGATAAGGAAAAAAAAAAAAAAAAACAGATTTGTGATTGTTATATGGCTGAGGTCTTTTACCCAACAGCGTGATCTCTCATTGGGTCCTTCGAGGTCACATGACAACTAACACCAACGTTGTTTCCCGTCAAAAGTTTACAAGCGGTCAACATTGACTTATTAAGCGTTAAGGTGGCTGAACACAGTTTTTGATACCTGTGTTTCATTCACCTTTTTCTCTAAAAACCCTTGATCCTTTAGCGCCAAAAATGTCAGCAAGCAAGTTAACAACACAAACGTTGGTTTCTTGATAGTTAAGTTGACGTATGTGATATTGCCATGGCAACATGAATAAATAAAAACAGGCCTTTAAAATCGATTGCGTTTGTTTGCAGAAAATCTAGTAATTAGATTTTCCTCATAATTTGCATGCAACAAGCTTCTAACGATGCTCGCAAGTTAACACTGTTTTAATAATAATTTAACAGAGAGATATTCAATTATCCCTTGTTGAAGGTTCACTGGAATATCTAGAAGTAGTTCTTGTTCTATTTTGTTTGGGTGTTTTGAAGTGCAGGATATCAAAACTCCTGGTGAACCGCAGGCGATTTGTGTATAAAAATAAAAGCAGCCGCGGAAACTGAGATTGTTCCAAGGATTAAGCGTTCTCATTGTT